GGTGAGGGTGAGAGTTAGCCTTGGGGACTGTATTGTTGGTCGTTTTCTGAGTTAGAGGGGCTATGTCAGGAAGCTTTGGTTCTGACTTGGTGGTTTTGGGTTCAGAGAAGCCTTGTCATGGCATTTGGAGGTCCAAGTGGTGGCCTTTGGTGTTAAAGAACCAACCTTTGTGGTGCTATTTTCGTGCACATCTCTGAGTCAGACTTGAGGGGCTGTGTTAGAGCTCCAAGAGCATCTCCATTCTCTATTTTGAGCTTGTGGTATGATCATCACCCTTTAACTTGAGTTCTTTTGCTTAAAAATGGAACCTTGATGCATGTAAAGGTTAAAAGATGATAACTTAATATTGGGAAAGGCTTAACACACTTAGAAATGCATGCTTAAGTGTCTAAAATCAGTAAAAACCCAACCTTGGAAGGATATCTTCGCGAAAATGCAGAAACTGCATTCTGTCGCGAAATATCCGGATATTTTCCCGTGAAATATCCGGATATTGATATCCGGATATGGGGATCTGGATATCCGGATATTGATATCCAGATATTGCCAGAGAGATATTCGGATATTGAATATCCAGATATGCCCCGAGGAATATCCGGATATTCTGGGATTTCGTAGAAGAGTAGCTGTGATGTGTGTACAGTAGGCTATTGGGGGTTTGTGGACCCTGGATTGATGAATTAAGTCAGAATCATGTGATTAAGGGCTTATGGCTTGTGTGCAGCCTTAAGACGTAAAACGTAACGGAAATACGTTGTCTTTAAGTTGTATGCTGTGGTGCATGTTTAATGATATACTATTGGTCCATAACAGATTGTGATACTGCTGTGTTTGGACCTTGAGATTGTGGACTTTTGGCATTGGATAGTGAGCTTGCAAGGTAAGCTTTCGTGTCCTCGGTTTAGCCATGTTGTGGTTCCACCATGTCCCATGGGGGTATGGTTATATGCATGCTGCGTTACATGCTTTTAATGTTTTGGAAATGCTGTTGAGCTGTTATATGCAAATGCCTTTATGATATGCATGTGGTGTTTCACCTATACGGTAAGACTGAGTATGTGGTACATACAAGATGGTGAGGTGCAAGCGGTGTTCCTTGTACTACATGTAGGTATAGACGTATTCCTGCATTTCTCTGGCCAGTAGAATATTGATAAACACACATGGCATGAATATCTGTTGCACTGCATAGTTTTGGAACTGATATTGATATAAATGCTTTTAGAACTTATATTGCACATGTAAGTGAGCTTGGGGTGGAAGATCCTTGAGGACCCCTAGTCTTACTGAGATTTCTGGTTTAGAGGTCTCACCCCACGTTTGGGGAATGCTTATTTCAGGATCAGGTAATGTTGGGGTTGAGGCCCCAGGCGGCAGGAGGCCGGAGCTGAGTTAGATATTGATGATATTATATGTTGACTTGTTGGATGCTGGATATGCATGCTGCTTTTATGCTTTGAACTTTATTTTATGTTCATGATTATCTTGTTGAGACGTTGTTGATTTGGTGAGCATGGAGATTGTCCATGACACATAGACTAGTTATGTCTTAGTTTTATTTGGAGTTGTAATAATGTATCAGGATATTGTCCGGACTACGTGATGTAGATCTGTGATTTAGATACTCGCTTTCTTTATATATTGAGGTATTTCAGTAGATGTCTTATTGCAATTTACATTCAGGCAATATTTTATGAAATTGGTTAAGTAATCAAGTTGGTAATTGATAATGACGTTATAATTGAAAAGAAAAAGAATATTCCGCATTTTTAATTAAGCATAGCTTAATACGATGTAATGATAACACTACCGGATATATACGGGATGTTACAATAGGCCTAGGCCAAGGCTTTTATTTTTTGAATATAGGTAAGGACAGACTTGTAATTAGGAGCCTACACAAGCTAATAGGCCAGGCCATACCCAATGTTTTTTACACAGACTTGGCCTATTTAAGCCAAAGTCTAGCCTAACTCAGCCCATTTACACCCCTACCTACAGCGCACCGTTTCACTTAAGCCCGATTGCTACAGCTCTATTATTCAGAGCTATGGCTCTGATCTATAAAAAAAATAACAAAGACAGTAAATTGCTCTAGCACTCGAAATAACATCAAATATCAAAACTTAGAATATTTATCAATCAAAACATAAAGAGATCAAGGGTGGACTTGTGCATTATCCACCCTTCAAATCCTATGGGCTCTCATGTGAGAGGGCGTGTTAGAGAAATATAAAAATCATTAATGTAGCCTCACCCAACAACTTAAGCTTTTGGGTTGAATTAATTTTTTACAGTTTTGATTATCCAAGGATAACAAGCATATTTAATTAAAAATATTTATTTACCTGCTAATATTTTGGTATTTATTATGAAAAGTATATTGTTATAACTACCCAAAGGAATGCTACTTTAATTTTCTCCCCCAAATTGCATATATTGCTTAGCACTTGTTGTTTGTGGAATAGTTGACTTGATGTTATTGGCAATAGTCATTTTAATGAACATAATACTCAACCTCTTACTCTGTTCCCACGCTTTATGATATGGTTTTACTTCACCAATAGCAGCAGGTTTATCCTCAATGATTGCCAAATCAAGACCCATAACTCTGAATTCGAAATTGACTTGTTCAAGTCATTGATAGAAATTCACACCAGTAAACAAAACAACAAATAAAGCTTGAGAATCATTGAAATAACTGCAATTATAGATAAAACTAATAATAGAAGCTCATAAGTAATCAAGATTGTGATTCAAATGGTACAGTTTTGGTAGAGCTCACGACCAAGAAGTTTGATGGATTGCGAACTATGCAAGAATACATTATTGAAATGATTAATCTTGCAGCAAGACTCAAGGCCTTGGGATTTACGGTTGAGGACTCATTCTTGGTTCAATTTGTTCTAAACTCACTGCCTTTTGAATATGTGTCATTTCAAAATAACTATAACTCTTAAGGATAAATGGAATGTTGATGAATTAGCCAATATGCTTATCTTGGAGGAAGCGTGATTAAAGAATCACACGAATCACTCTGTTAATCTCATGGGTCAGAAAGTTGAGAAAGGAAATAAAGTAAAATCAAAGAACTTTAAGAAAAAGAAAGCACCTACAAATGATTGGTAGGGTAAAGAAAAGAAGGAATTAAAGGATATCAAGGACCTGTTTGGATGAACTTTTTTTCTCCAAAAGCTATTTTTTCAGAAAAAAAAGCATTTTTCACTTTGTAAATTCGTTTGGATGTCTGCTTTAAAAAAAACACAAGTCACAAAAAAAAATTTCTTTTTTTGGAAGCTAAAAATTTTAGCTTCTAAAAAAAACAGAAGTCAAAAGCTAATTTTTTTTTCAAAAACAATATTTTTTTAAAATCTAAATAGCTTTAACTTTTGTAAAAAATATTTTTAAATTAAGTAAGACATAAATATGCTTTTTTTAAAAGGCCAAACAAACGGGCTCTAAGTGTCACTTCTACAAGAATAATGAACATTATCAAATTGAATGTCCCAAGTCTTGGTTTCATTTTATTTTCCTTTTCTTTTCTTTCCTCTCTCTCATTTTTACTTTATTTTATTCTTTTAATTTTTTTTTTCAAATTTGTGGTATTATTTATATTTATAATTTTTTTCCTCAATATTTTCATACTTTTCATATGATTCCAGAACTGGTTTAAAAATTAGTTTTAGAGGTGTGCAAAGGAACTACAAAAAATACTACATTTAAAAAAAAAAATTAAATATCAATTCTTGAACTGAACTATTTTTAAAAACTAATTCTTGAACTGAAAATTAGTTCATGAACCGAACTAATTTTTTTCTCTTCTTTTCATTTATTTTTCTTTTTCCCTCTTTATTTCTCTCCTTTTATTTATTTATTTACTATCTTCTTTTTTCTTTATTTTTATTTCTTTATTTGTTTAGTTTTTTATTTTATTTTATTTTATTCTTTTATCTAAATATTTCTTACTTTTTTTAAATTTTCATGATCATTTATATATATTTTTTAATTTTTCTTCCATCTTTTTATAATTTTTATTTGGATTCAAAATTAATTTTAAAAATCAATTCAAACTGAACTGAGCTAATAAATCAATTAATGTCTAAGAAATGAATTGTTTTTCCAATTCAGTTTGGTTTTTCCAACACCCTTAATTTAACTCTATTTTGACTAGTATGATAATGATTATTTATTAGTGAGTGGTGGATAATATGTGCCGTAAATATCCTTTTTGCTTTTGTATTTATTTTTATTAGGTATTTGAAGCCCTCCTCCTCCTCCAAATTGAAATATCTATGCTATATATAAGGAATTCCGTTCTAGTTTGTGAAGGAACTGTTTTACCTTTTTAGAAATATAATAAATTTAAGAGGGTATTTAGTTTACTTTTATTTGGTCCAGCTTTCAGACCAATTGAAGTTTGTTCTTACATTGTTTAGTCCATGTGGCGTGTTTCAACTTTTTATGAAATTCCCACTTAACCATAAGCCATAAATGCGAATTAATTTTAGGCTATGACAAGCTTAAAGGCAAGTTTGTTGGTTGTTGTTAGGCCCAAATGCAAAGCATAATGACTTTTACATTCTTTAATCTTATAATGTCCCAGTTATGTACGCTTTCTGAAAGAAAATTCGTGACTCTAGCTACTATTATTTTATTATCTAACTGAGATGATGGCAACATTTTTCGATTCTGTTGGGCAGGTAGCTCTACGTTTGACTTCATGTTATGATTTTGGTGAAAGTGAACCGTATGTTACTCATTTTGATTTGACATTTGAAACAAAAAAATAATAATTAAGCAAATGTCAGCAGCACGAGCGTTGAATTATGGTGGAGCAGCTAAGAGGAGTTGCTGCTATTAAAAACTATCACCCCTTCATCATGTTCTTCTACCTATGCATATTTGTTGAGGAGCGTTCTACTTGCCACCATCCACCTTAACATCCATATTATATATCACTATATATATATATATATATATTACATTCCCTTTGATGAATATACCACAAGAGAAACCATGACTTCTTCAATTAAAGGTTCAACAGAGCACAGAGAAGTTTCCAAAGACTTTGGAATGGAAGAGGATGAAGACCTTTTTGAGATTGATCTTGAGGCAGTGAACTGCATTCCACCACCCCATTACTGGGAAAGTTACTACACTTCCACAGGGAATGCACTTCTGGCCAATTGTTTGATGCCAATATCTGAAATCTCTTGTGCTGTTCCAGCTTGTAATGCAGTGTCTTTTGCAGGGAAGAGCAATGTTCTCTTTATGACAGAGGCAATGTCATTGGGGGAATATCTTAGGCTACCGTTCTTGGGGCCTCTTGGACTATTAGATGAGAAAATGGGAGCACCATTTCATTTTCAGTTTCAGCATTAGAGACTTGTAATATATCAACTTGCTGTGTGGTTGATGATATGTTCTGCAACTTAGCAACTAGTAACATAGCACACTTATCTTTTTTCGGTACATTTTATACAATGTTGTATACTCTTAGTTGGAAGAACACGCAAGTCACATGATTAATTAGCCTTTCGCAGTTTCAATTCTGATGCTCTTAATATTACTTTCTGTTCTGATGAGAATACGTCAAGTCCTTCGAAATCATGATCCCTTATAAAAACTATGAAATTAACATGTTAACCAAAGTTATTTATAAACTTTACCATTTGCTCTTTAAATGAGTTATTTGTTGGTTAAGTGGGTTACAAAGAAAGAATTTAGGCACAATCCAGTACAAAAATTGAAAATTGAAAAACCAATTTAGATAGTTTTGGATTATATCAGTTCTAAATTTGAACCAAACCCATCAAATGATAACATGAGAAAATTGAATTAGATAGGATCAACTATTTTTTTCTTAAAGAAAAATACCTGTCCAATCAACCCTAAGCTGTAACGGATCCATCTTTGGAGATAAGTCCAATTCAAGCTTCAGAGGAGAAGGCTAAATGAGCCCGCAAGCAGCCCAGCTATTTAAAAGACTATGAGACTAGTTAAGTGATATTGGGCTCTAGTAACTACCAGCATTACTATGTCTTTTTAAGTTTTTAATGAATTACTGTAGTATGTATTGGAATTGGTGGCCCAATAGGAATAAGGCACTATATGATGACTTGGATTTAGTGGAATAATAAGTAGAATTTGGTTCATCTTTCTCTTTCTCCTTATTCTCTCTGTCATCACGTTCTCTCTTCTCTTCTCATCTACCTCATCTTCTCTGGAGATCTGAAATTGCCATTACATTTGGTGCTCTCATTGCTTATTCAACTTCCTATACCATGGCTGAAAATACCCGGATGCGGGATGTAACTCAACGACTGGAGACATTGGAACAACAAACCCATCGCTTAGACATACTGGAACAGCAACTGCGTTCAGCTGAATTAGTACGTGAACAACAACATTTGGACCTACAAGAGTCCAACGCTCAGTTACAGGAGCCTCAGACTCAAATCAAGCAAGCATTGCAACGTATACTTGATGGGCAACCCTCTGGTGGTTACTTTTATTCTGGTATACTTGGTTCTGGACCGGGTTCAAAATCTAACGCTAGCAACCCAGATCTGGGTAAACAACGTCCATTTAAACTCATTTTTCCCAGATTTTCTTCTAGTGACCTAACCTCTTGCTATTTGTTGTAGACAAATATTGTCAATATTATCAAATTGGTGATGAAGAACGATTACTGACTGTGTCATTCCATTTGGACGACCCGCGGCTTGCCAGTTTAGGGGTCTTAGTGATGAGGGTTTACTCCCAACTTGGGCTTCGTTTATCATAGCGTTACACAGACAATTTGGACCTTCTGAATTTGATGAACCCATTGGTGCCCTAACTAAGTTACAACAACAAGGTTTAGTTATTGATTACCAATCTACATTTGAAGCTGCTGCTAGTAAGGTTCCTGGTTTATCAGCCACCACCTACAAGTGTGGATTAGAATCCAGAAGTTCAGCACTTATTGGGCCAATATAGGGATGTCTTTGCAACTCCATCTTCCTTACCCCCTAATCGGCCCAACAATCACAAAATTCAATTAATCCCTGATGCAAAGCCTGTCCAAGTTAGACCATACAAATATCCTCACTTCTATAAAAATGAAATAGAAAAATTGGTTTATGAGATGTCGCATAATGGGTTACTCTGACCTAGTCACTCAGCTTTTAGTTCCCCGGTTCTGTTGGTCAAGAAGAAAGATGGGACATGGCGATTCTATGTTGATTATCATGCCCAAATACTGTAACTGTGAGTGATAAATTTCCAATTCCCACAATTGATGAATTGATGGATGAATTACACGGTGCAACCATATTCTCAAAGCTGGATCTACGCTTAGGATATCACCAAATTAAGATGCATCCTACAGACATATATAAAACAGCATTCCGCATATATCACGACCATTAGGAATTTTTGGTCATGCCCTTTGGATTGCCAAATGCACCATTGACTTTTCAGGCTACCATGAATCAGGTCTTCTCTGAATTTTTACGCAGATTTGTAGTAATTGTTTTTGATGATATTTTGGTGTATAGTTCATGTCTCCAAGAACACATTAACCATCTACAACAGGTCCTACTAATTTTAAGGGAAAATTCCTTGTTCGCAAAGTTGTTCAAATGTCTGTTTGCCCAACCATCAATTCAATTTTTAGGACATATTATTTCTGGTGAAGGCATAGCACCTGATCCCAGCAAAACATAAGCTATTCAGGAGTGGCCTATTCCCCAATCTGCAACTCAAGTACGAGCTTCTTAGGCCTCTCCAGGTATTATCGTCAGTTTATCCGACATTATGCTTCCATTGCAGCCCCGTTAACAGACCTTCTAACAAAAGATGGGTTCCGTTGGTCATCAGCATGATCAGATGCCTTTGTCAAGCTCAAGGCTTCTATGATTGCCATGCCAATATTAGCATTGCCCAATTTTAAGAACCCTTTATTGTGGATACAAACACTTCAAGATTGGGGTAGGTGCGATTTTGTTACAAAACAATCACCTAAGTGCACTCTATAGCAGGAAATTGGCACCCTCTATGCGCACCAAATCCACATACATACGTGAGATGTTTACAATCACTTCTGCCGTGGCCAAATGGAGACAATACTTGTTAGGAGTACCGTTCACCATTCACACAGATCACAAAAGCTTGCATAAACTTATGAATCAGGTTATCCAAATCCCGGAACAACAATTGTTCCTATCAAAGCTATTGGGCTTTGATTACTCTATTGTATACAACTCAGGTAAAGCCAACATTGTTGCTGACGCCTTATCTAGACATCCAGAAGGGATTTCTGATTCTACAACACCTCATCTGGCTGCTTTTAATGGTCCAATTAGTGATTACAAGTCCTTACTGCTACAAGAATTACAACAAGACCCATATTGTGCTACAATATTAACATAGTTACAAACGGAGCCAGCAAAATGGAATCATTGGAAAAATAAAGAGGGGTTGTTGTTCTTCCGCAATAGAATTGTCATGTCTGCTGCATCTTCCATTATCCCTCATTTATTATATGATCTCCATACTTCGGTGCCAGGGGGTCATTATGGCCTTACTGGTACTCTGCAGAGGATTGTCCAAAATTTCACCTGGAAGGGAATGAGAAAAACCATACGTGAGTATGTGCCCAACTATGAAATCTGTCAAAAAATCAAACCTCTCAACCATTCTCCATATGGTTTGTTAACACCCATAAAACCACAAGAAGAGACCTGGACATATTTGAGTGTGGATTTTATTACTCACTTACCACCTTCACATTTCTTTACAGCAATTTTGGTCGTTGTGGATAGATTTTCCAAAGGAGCACACTTTGCAGCTTTGCCCCTTTGCTACACAGCTACAAAAATCGCACAAGTGTTTTGAGACACAGTGGGGAAAATACATGGTCTACCTCGGTCTATTATCTCGCATCGTGATCCTCTGTTTCTTAGTAAATTATGGACTACACTCTTCACCCTACAAGGAACCACATTGTGTTTCAGTTTAACCTATCATCCTCAATCGGATGGTCAAACCAAAAGAGTGAATAAATGCGTTGAACAGTTTTTGAGAGCATTTACCTTTGACTATCCTTCTTCTTGGTCTAGATATTTGGCTTGGGCAGAGTATCACCATAATACAGCTTTCAATAGTTTGACGGGCATGACTTCATATGAGATAACATTTGGCCAACCACCACGAAACCTCTTATCCTACACTTTGGGCTCTTCTTCCAACGAGGCAGTAGATGACGTTTTGGTTTCACTTGAGGATGCTTGGTCGAGTCACAGATCATCAGGAATCTGTTTATGAACCTATGAGGGTCTTCATCAACTTCTCCACCAAACTGAGCTCTCTCCACCAGTCGAATATTATCAGACTTGAGCTCCCAATTATTGTTGCCAACTTCAGGATGGACAATACTTGAATTGGGCCTATTGAATAGTGGCGTTAGAATGGTATCCATGAGCGGATTGTCCGCATCATTGTTGTCTGCCATCTTGTGTGCTTCTTCGGACAGAACTCTTAACTCGTTGAATGCAAGCTTCTTCCGAGCAAGTTTTCTGTTCCTCTTTTCTGTTTTTGTAATCTCCAAATCTAGTAGAAATTCTGCCTCTTTATCTCGCATACAACTCAGAAAAGGAATTAGTAGCACTGTTCAAGAATCGCAGAGAAATAAAAAAAAATAATATAAAATAAAATCCAGTCTTAAAAATCAAAATCAATTGATATAAGAAACGCCAATCCCCGGCAACGGCGCCAAAAACTTGATGCTCACTGGCAAGTGTACCGATCGCACAAGTAATATAATAGTAAGTAAAGTATTGTCTCCACAGGGATTGGGTCGAATATCAATTATCGTTCCTTTCAAGAATGGAAGAGTTCAAAAGGGTTTTGACAAATATTGTCAATTTGTGTAAAATTGAGAACTGAAAATAATGACTTGTTTTTGTATTTTTAATTATGAGAAAAAGAATAATAAAAAGAATTGATGTTTTGAAAATATGAGAAAAACATTGTAGCTAGAGCGCACTCACCTTATGATCCCAACTTCTTACTTTGGATTGATTCACAATATTCATTTATAAAACTACTCGGATAAATTATTATCTAAAATAATTAGTTAAATCTCAATCCCTTGGAAATTTAACCTTTTAATCTCAATTGGAATCCTAATCCCTTAGCAACCCCTCATGAAAATTAAGCAATGAACTCTATAATTTAGGAATCCGCAATTCAATACACATCTATTCCTAGCATGCATACGAACCGTTATCCTACCCCCTTTCATGATGAAAACTCCAATATCCCTATCTAGGATTCTAACCCTCAGACTATTATCAACTATTAGAGTGATCAATTCTAATAAAGAAAATATAAAATACGCGCAAGATAGAGATAAAGACAATTTATATAAACGAGTAAAAGTAAACCAATCCGTCGTAACAAGGGTTCACATAGGGTTTG